CATTTAAATCAATTCAATCAATTTTTATTAAAAACAGTGGTAAATTCCAACATCATATGTACAGAGACCCATCTTGGAACCCATTGGCTAAAGACAGATGACGTTATGCCTCTGGGAGCGACAGTGTAGCTAACCGTTAGCAATCAAGGACTCCTGGCCAAGACTTCTTTTTTTTTGTGTTGCCTTTGTTTACAGCCTGTTAGAGGCACCGTATGGAAACAAGAACACTTCAAATACCAAACTCCAGTCAAGACAGTAGCCTTGAGCAGAACTGGACTTTTTGCTTTTTCTTTTTTAATTTTCTTTTTAAAGATTTATCTTTGGGCTTTTTGTGCCTTTAATTGAGAGACAGGACAGTGGATAGAGTCGGAAATCAGGGAGAGAGAGTGGGAAATGACATGCGGGAAAGGAGCCACAGGCCGGATTCGAACCTGGGCCGCCCGCCTGGAAGACCATAGCCTCCATACATGGGGTGCGCGCACTAACCGCCCCTGGACTTTTTGCTTTTTGCTGGATGGCCATCTAACAGCATGTTAGCACTCAATTATGTTCTCACAGGGCAACACACATGTTATGTTTTATTAACAGGATTATTCACAGCACCACCTTCATTCACTTTTGTACAACTGCATCACCATCTTTTCCCTCCACCTTCCTCTGTGTCTGTGACTAATAGATTTCTACCTTTTACTTCTTGGCATTAAATGAAACCCAGCATGCCACTTGATTATGATTAGGTCTGGACTTCCTGCAGCACGCTGAGGTCAGCTTGTTGATAAGTGTGACTCAATGATTTTGGGGGAAATTTGCTTTCCTGAAGGCATAATCTGCTGCAGCTGAACTGGAACTATTGGACAGCACCACCTGGCTGTGTGCAACTCATTCTGTGAAATTGACACGAGTTGGCAAAGGGATTTCGTTGTCTGCGTCCTGGGAGTCGATAGATGTTCCAGCAGACTGTGAATCATGGCTGTATCTCTGTCTCAGTAAAACAGAAATTGCCGACATAGTGTTATGACAGGCTGTTTCCTGCAGCCTGCTTTAATTTTTTTTGATCTGTTGGTTTTCTGCAAACACTGAATGTGTTTTTTTTACAACCCCCCCCCCTTTGTGGAACAGCTTAACCTGGCTGCTGAACTTTCCATCAAGTCAATATGGCTTGATGGTCGGCTTCTCTGCGATGCTGAGAAAATAGAGAAGACATCAATCACTGTGCATGTCAGTGGGTTATTGTGGAGGTGTGCAGGAACACATGGTGAGACAGCTGGTATCAGGACATTTCCTTGTTATACATTACATGGTTGTAAGAGTTTATAAAGAAGAACGGGAGACAGCTCAAATCAATGCAGGGCTGCTGCAGAAGATATTTTATACATGCGTTTGGTGGCATTTACCCTACACTATATTAGTCTTATTCCTCCTTCAGTGTATTGATCTTTGTGGTTGATGAGAGTGCATAAGAGGGGGAAACGGGTCAGAGCATGTGTGCACGCTCCAGTGTTCATTATTAATGGCAGTGAGGTCAGTAAATGACTAAGGAGTACAGTGGAGATTAAGGGGGGGAAGCGGGCGTGGTTATTTAAGAGCAGGGAAGATGAACTGAAGAGAGAGTGCTTGTTTTCTATTTAAGTCCCTGCAGCTGAAGTGATGGACAAACACTCGAGCAGGCAGGTGGTCTCAAGTAGGAAGGTAATCGGGAGCAATGTGTCACGCAGCTTTAGACAGTTTCAGCGAATCGTCCTTGGTTTGTGACTCGGCCACATATTGACCAGATAATGGAAAAAAAGACGGCAAAAGACTGTCAGAGAGAGGCAGTGACAAAGAAGACAGACAGAAATGAAGTGATTTCAGCATCAAGGTGACAGGTGTGAAAGAGCAGTGAAGCGAGAGGAGATTGTAGGGGTGTAATGATCTGCTTTTGTGGGAATGAAAAGGAGAGGCGAGTGTCCATGGGTGTCTGTGCTGATGAATTTGTAGTGAGATGAAGATTGACATCTTACTGATTCTGAATGTCTGGACAGAAGGCATGTGATTGAGCCCCTGAGAGGTTTACTGTCACATCAAGAACTGACTGTGCTGTGGTGGTCACATCAGTATCACACATTCCTCTGTATGAAAACAAACACAAACTGAAGCATAACCTCCCTTATCTGAATTCTGTACCACCTTCCACCATGTTATTGGGTGTTGCCCAAGAGGTTTGACCTGGGCTGCAGGGTGACAGATGGAGGATGTTAGTGCACAGAGCTTCAGAATCACGGCCGTGACAGCTCGTCATTGTATTCCAACGACTGATGGTATCATGCAGTCATTGTGTCAGTGTTTGGAGCAGACCCGCAACAGATGCTGAGCGAATAATGGAAGCTTTATCAGTGGATATACACTCAGTGACTCTTATTGGCATATAGGAATATGAACAAGGACTGAGTCTCAGGTGAGCTTAAAGTTATTAAGATACAGGGTTATGTATGTGGAAGGCTTTGTCAGTGGGATATGAAACAAGAACATATTTCCTTTGGTAGGATATCTGTCTGTAAGTGAATGTCTGAGGGAACATATTTCTCATTGTACGTCACCACTCAGAGTGTGAAGTATTAGATTCTGTATCTGCAGGTTTTATTTCACTACATTTCTCACTACAAGATTGATTATGGTAGAGTCTCATAGGTAGGTTGCTGTATCGTCAGCATAGAGCACCATTCCAGTAAAGTCATTGTGTCCATGAAAATATGAATCACAAGACAGCACTAATGCAATAAACTAAAATGAAACAAGGCACCAGATATATCTTTATTATTTTGTTTTACACTATAGCTGGAGTGTTTCAGTGTTTTCCATGGTTGACTTAGCCAGCTTGAATATTTCCATTTCTGCTACAAGCGTCAACTGTTCCATCTGCCTAATGCACCAATTTACCATCCTGTCTAATGGAGGGCCGCCCTGACTGCAACAACTTATAATAACCAGCAAACAGCCAGAGGATTTTACTTGCTAATGGACTTTGTCTATTTATAAACAAATCTGTGAAATAGCTTTTCTGGTGTGTTCTGCAAATTAAATCGTATGACTCCATTGACCTTATGGGATTATATTCTTTGAATACTTGTTGTATTCCATACAAATTCCAGTTTTTACAAGATTAACATGCTATTAATCCCTTTTGTTTGGTATATGAATCAATGGACAGATAAGAATACAATTCTTATGAAAAACTGGAGTATTTTCATATAAGAATTGTTGAGGATTCATCACCCACTCATATGACAGATGGTGAGCGCATTTTTTGATGTTCTGTTTCAAATAAGAATATAAAAACAATGAGCATTATATTATTTTTTTATGATGATGTTCAAAAATATCTATTCCTTTCAGCTGGAAAATCAATTGGTCAAAAGTAGTTTGTCAATACACACTAAAATTTGGGGAGAGTTTCTGGTCAGGAAAGGCCAAAGCTCATTTTATGACAAAAAAATACAGAATCTGTTTTAAGTTATAAGAGAATCCACGAATCCCCTGAGTGATTGTTATTTATCTTCTAGGTATCTTCCAAGATACTGTTCTTTTACTTGATTGGTTAATCACGTTATTTACAGAAGTCAAGACTTTCCTCAGATTTCTTTGATTTTGTGAAACAAACTATCAGGATTCAGCTGAGATTCTATGAAGAAATACAGACTTCACATCTGCCAGATCATCAGATGCCTGCTCGCTCCGATGCATAATGCATCAAACTGTTTCACAAGTCTGCAGGGAAAACATAGCAGTGCTTAACATTAATATTTCATTAAGCCACTGCGACATCGAAGTGTTAATGGAAGAGACCTTCTGTGTGTGTGTGCGTGCGTGCGTGCGTGCGTGTGTGTGTGCATGCATGCGTGCGTGCGTGTGTGTGTGTGTGTGTTACCATTAATGAAGTTGACCCTGGTGGCCTCTGCCTGCCCTCTATCAGGGTGTGAGGTGGGGAGTTTAATAATAACGTGTTAAGTTACCTTAAACTCAAAGAGCTGAATAAAATGAATAAACAGGCTCATGAATAAAGGGTTTAATAGAAATGCAGTCAGCTCTTTGACACAAGACTAAAGCTTTCACACAGACAGAAAGCAATAAAGCATTAAAGTGAGCTCCTGGTTTGAAAGGAGTTCGCTGGTTGTTTTCCACCACTGCTTCTGCACTTTCCTTTTTACCTCCCTATTCTGTCATGCCTTTTAATTAAAGGAAAGGAATAAAAAAGGACGACTGGATACTCTAAAAGAAGATATATATTTATATTACTTACATTTCACATTTTTAATAAACTTAAATTGAATAAACCTAGTTATATCGGCACATATCCCAGAGAAAATAAGCCGATACTGATAGTCACATGGTAAGCTAATATCGACTGGTATTATCGGCTGGGCGATTAATCGGTCGGGCTCTAATTTTTAACAAAGAGGTGCATTTTACTCTCTCTCTATAAACATACATACAAATATGTGATTTATCTGGAATAAGCTGATCTCTTCTGATAAAAACATATTGCTTAGCCTGCAGATTCTCGCACGCCAGCTTTATTTAAAATAAGAGACAACACAGGAATCATCTGGCATTTTTTGACACTCATTCGCTGTATTGTCAAGAATTTGATGAAATAATTGTTACCACCCTCAAAAAGTATGTTAACAATGCTGTAAACTAAGCAGTTACACTACGGTTACCTTTACACAAAGAAAAGTGGAGTTAATATAATAGTAATATAATAAGATGGATTTAATTTATGGAGACTTTTTGGCTTGGGGTGTTGACTTACTTGGTGAGCTTCCCCTCTCTTTTCTTTTATTTATGCAAAGTTAAAAAGTCTACTGCTCTGACTTATTTAACAATTCCATGAATGATAATGCTGTATATCCTCTATGCAGTTCACAAAGGAAGTTCGATTGAAACGGTGAAGAAAAAAAAACTTATACTTAATATTATGTTACATGTATGAGGTCTGACGTGAGCTCTGTGTGTTTCCTCAGATGACAGTGCATCAGCTGCCAGCAGTATGGATGTGACCGACCGCATCGCCTCCCTGGAGCAGAGAGTCCAGATGCAGGAGGATGAGATTCAGCTGCTGAAGTCCGCTCTGGCCGATGTGGTGCGCCGGCTCAATGTGTCTGAGGAGCAGCAGGCCATGGGGTCACGCAGAGGACCCACCAAAGGTAACACACACACATGAGCATGTACTTCTAAGTGCAGATCCACAGGGTCAGCATTGTTTTTTTTTGGTTTAACACTTATTGTCCATTATTGAATACAAAACACACATTCTGGATCAGATGCATGTTGTTGGGTCCTTGGAGGATTCCCTTTCTCCTTTTCCATGTTGTTCTCTCTCTTTCCTAATCATGTCTTGCTCAATTTCCTTACTCTGACTGGTTGTGTGTTCTCCTCCTCCTCTTTCTTCCTGGCCCCTGTTGTTGTGTTTAACATGTGCGTTACGTATTTAGACCCTGCTTTGATGAGAAAGTCTCCCTCAGTGGACAGCAATGTTGGGAAGTCAGGTAGGCCGACCGTGAAGTCTGTCTGCACTAACGGGGCCCGGTGTTGTGTTTACAAAAAAAAGCACACTGCAGTCACTGCCTGCTGTTCAATACCACAGTGTAGTAATGTATAGTGGAGTATTCAGTATATACAAAAGAAAACCCACACTTCACCTTTAGTACTGCACTGCCTGAGGTCAATGCACTGGGATTGAAGTCTGACACACAGACATCAGTGAACTGCCACAAGAAAGTGACTTTAGCTTTTATTTCCAAAAATGTCAAGCTATTGTTTTTAGGTAGATTTAAACATTCTGACACGTTCTCAGTTTAGGTTTATCAATCCAGATTTAAACTCAGCTTAAAGACAAGTTTGATCACCATCATTGCGCAACCTTTAATGTAACCTGCTAAATGGAATCTACTTGTCCTCTTGCGATCTGATATCACAAAGCTGACTGCGGCATGTAAAAGTTATAAGGGAAACAGCACGTCATCAAAAACTTTGAAAGCTTTCATAATGTTTTAATTACAGCATTTTACATTAAAATGACGTCTAGATTTTTTTATACAAAGTCATTTTGATATTCTGCATCGAAATTGAATCTTCAGTGGAGCAAGTTCGCATGAAAATTCAGCGGCCCTAGATGCCTTTTTAAGCTCTCAAATGTGCATCAGAGCAAAGAAACAGATTGTGATTCTGAGCTCCTGCCAGTGTCGGTCTCTGGAGTGTCTATGGACGGATGAAGTTCCACTTTTATTTGGGATCTGGAGGATGACTCAGACTCAGCTTTCTCTTATTGTTCTTCACTGTGAACTGCTGGGAGCCCCCCAGCCTGCTCCACTCTACTGAAGTATTATGATGGGCTTCAATAAGCTCAGCACACAGTCTGCACATGAACACAAACACACGGAAAACACACTCATCTTCTTTTACATGCTAACTAAATTATAACCTCACTTTACCCCATGCTGTGTGATTACTACATGAAAGATAACTTAGCAGTGTGTGTGTGTGTGTGTGTGTGTGTGTGTGTGTGTGTGTGTGTGTGTGTGTGTGTCTGAGGGATGAGTCTATTAAATATTTATCACTGCAGATAAAGCTGCAGCTTGGATTTGTTATTCCAAGGCTAGCCAGCCTGAATGCCATGTGTGTGTGTGTGTGTGTGTGTGTGTGTGTGTGTGTGTGTGTGTGTGTGTGTGTGTGTGTGTGTGTGTGTGTGTGTGTGTGTGTGTCAGGAGAGGGGGGTGGGGCCTGATAACCTGCTTGTGTGTGTGTGTGTGTGTGTGTGTGTGTGTGTGCGTGTGTGTGTGTGTGTGTGTGTGTGTGTGTGTGTGTGTGCGTGTGTGTGTGTCTGTGTGTGTTTGCATGAATTAGTGTTCACGTTCCTTTTGTGTTGTCAAACCACCTCGTGCATATGACTTTTTTAACATCAGTGGTTATTTGAATGTAAAGGTCATTGAGAAAGAACAATCTAATTAAAAATGGGGAAAAGCATTTAGTTAATATTTTTTTGGATTACATTTTGGACGTCTCTGGTTTGGGAATTTTCTGCCTGTATTTTTATCCTTAATACATACAGTATTATTGTGCAATTATTCTATTCAAACCATCACTTGGGAGCATTGTGCAGAGGGTTGTTTCTTGTGTTGTATACAGTACATCTATTAAATTGACTTATGTAAAGGTTCAAGTCTTCATAGCCATGAATATTGCATTACTAAATTACAAACAAAGAGGGACAGCCTACATGTTTTTAGATTTTTAAGGTATGTTTTTATTTAATAATGGTCTTTTTTCCCCCCCCACAAACACTTCACACAGCATGTTGAGTTCTTTTGTATCTAAGGTTACAGTTAGGCAACACACATCTGGATTGTCACCAACACAATCACCTAACCCCATTTACCTCAGATACAGACTGAAATAACAACAGATGGGCCACAGGACCATTGAAAAGACAACATTATAAAATGTTAATCACAATATTGCTGTAAAAAAAATGTTCAAACAGAGAGTGATATCCATATAGCTGTTGCCCCAGTGCATGCAGGGAGGCTTTCCATCACACCTATACGTTCATGGAGTCTCATTTTGTTCACTAATTAAGCAACTTTGCACTCTCACATGACACTTCAGGGACACCGCTTCTTGTGTTTTTTTTTTCCTGATGTTTCCCTGCTCTTGTCCTTTTTTCATCCAGCCAGGCCAATGATTGCCACCTTACCGTTACGGCCCACAGTAAACAATGGGAATGTCCTACCAAAGAAAGGCAGCGGCACTCTGCCCTCCCCATCTGGACCAGGGTCCAGGAAGGATACCAGCACGCCCGCCAACAAGAGGTGAGAAGAGGGAAAGTATCAAATGGGCGGTCTAGGGGCTCTAAGTCAAGAGTATTCTGCCAGATTTAGTGGATTTTGTAGCTTTACTGATGCTTTGGGCTGTTAACACACTGTTGTAAATCATGCATGAGTCACGTCATTATTTACAGACATTTTATTTATTCTGCTCGTCTGTAAATTTGAGCCACAAATCATCACATTTCTGGCTTTTTATCAGCCAAAGCCACTGACATTAAACAGGGCTGATAAAGTGAGAAACAGCATCATCATGACAGCACTGTTTCTCTCCTCTCTGTGTGTGTTTACATGCATGTGGGACACAGGCCATCAATCTTGTCTGTCTGGGGAACAATAGCTGTTTCCCGTATCGGGACGACTTTAACATAGTCAGGTGAAGCTCAGCAGACAGAAGGGACCTGCTACAGTACAGACAGCTGTTGTCTCCCCATCTCTGTCACTTTTTATTCTCTGAGTTTGACTTTACTTCTGCTCAGGGATCTTTTCTAATTGTAAGAGGTGGTCCTTTTAATGCTCGTTGGCTCTCACCTTGAGGTTCGCTGATGAGGACAACAGAGAATTAGCTTTGCAGATTCAGAAGACCCCAAGGAAGACAGGAAATGTGATTTAGTCTTTTTTAATTTTCTTCTTTTTTTTCAGGATTTCATCGAAATTTTATTGGAGTGATTTTAACACAAGACATTATTTATAATTCACTGAAATTAAACTTTAATGACCAGTAATTAGTTATCAGTCTCTCCTGATTTGTCTTCGTGTTGTCTGTCTTTCCCGTCTGTCTTGTCTCACATGTCCTCTATTGTATTGTCAAAGTGTCCTTTCAAACTATGTTGTCTTATCCTGTCTACGTCCTGTGTCCTTCAAGTCTGTCCAGGTTACCCTCTCTGTCTTGCTCCACCAGGTTTCTCTACCTGCCCCTCAGGTGAGAGAGAGAGAACTAAACTTGGTCACAAAATGACATCATCACCATACCATGTGGAGCATGCTAACAGTTGTTTCACAAAAACAGTCACCAGGGTACATAATAACTGCTCATTTGCAACATAACTCTCATAACTAACATTGACTAACATTGTAGCACTTGTATGCTTTGTTAAAGTGTGTGCCTGGGATTAGTCTAATCCCAGGCACACACGTTGGCAAACACACAACAGCCTTCCCCAATGCCCTGTGGCCCAATTACTGTGATTCCTCATGGGATAACTCAGCAAACAACACTTTCTCTCTCGCGCTCTTCTTTCTGCTCTATTCTGCTTTTTACTGGACAGACACACAAAGGCTAACAGGCAGCCTCCAGTTTTAGGACGTGAATAGACTTTTCTCCCGTAGGGTGGATTAGGTGACCGGGCGTACTGGCCGTTGGATTGCTGATGGTGCCTTTTCTTTGTTGTAAACAGGCAGGCTGTCTGTCGCGCCAATATGCAGATTAGCATAGGTCTGTGCTACTGACACTGTATTTAAAAAGAGAGTGCAAGGAAGCAATGTTTTTTTAATTGTGCTTTAGGGCAAAATCAAAGTTAAACTTTCATTTTCAAAAATGTGAGGCAGGTTTGAGCTGGATCATGAAATATGTTCCTCCCTCTCAGAGGTGCTTTCATAAGCTTTTCCTTGGATGAAAACTTTACCACAGGACATTTTAAGGAAAGCTCAGTCAGGTACTTTTGTGACCTATTTCCTTGTACACCCCCCTCCTATTGGTCTCATTTTCCCCCTGTCCACCGCCCTCTCTCACCACAGCACAGTGAGGAGGACCAACTCAAACGAACACGTGGGAACTCTTACGCGGAAAGACTCGGGCGAGTCCAAGAGCAACCGGACTCGGGCCGGATCCACCGGCAGCAATTCCAGCGGCAAAAGAAGCGAAAGGTAACGTGAAAGTCACGTTATAAATCAACTTTCCCTGAATATCTACCCAATGATCCTTGCTGTTCACACATGATAGGATAGTGTAAAAAAAATGTAGTTTAGTTGATGTAGTAGTGATATGCTGAATGACAGCTGTCTGTTTACTCATTTACTTTGCAGCAAACAGAGGGATCCCGTGTTCAATGCAGGTAAGAACTAGAGGCTCTTTAAAGGCTCTGTAGCCTGACATCTTTGATAGTGTCATGATATGAATCATGAGGGAGAGCCAGTCCACACAACACACGAAACTCAGTGGCTCCCTGTGTCTGCTTAAAGCTGCAGGTATCCTGCTTATAGAAAAAATATTGTCTTTGTGTGTTGTATATTATCCAAAATTAGACAGAAATTGATGTCTTCAATAATTTGAGTCAGAGTTTTGATCTGTTTTCTGCACACAAAGGACCTCTCAGACTTTCTCTACATGATGTTCTGTTAAAAAAAATGGTGTCAACCATTCAACATCTTTTTCTTGATTCATTCATTAACATGTGAGCAGTCCACTCCATCCATTTATACGTCTCCATATCTACATTTCCATTCATCTTTTCTTTATAATCTGCTTTGTTTGAATAAATGTGTACAGTTTGAGTTTTATTATTTAAGTGAAGTCATTCAGATTAGGTCTCAGACTTACTCTGATCATTCTGGCAAAGGGTCCTTAAAATGTTGCATTCACAACGTCTGGCAAGTTACTCTAGCCTTCTAAATTTCAAAGTTTTATTTGTCCAAACATTCACATTTACCCCTAAGATAAGGTATTTTTCCATTTTACGTTTTGATAGCTGTCTATAGCTGAGCAGCCTGTCACTCTGCAGGGATATCATTAGCTCATCGTTTCTTTATTCCTCTGGCAGATTTTCATCTTTTGATTTGTAAATATGATTTGTAGGCAAAGAGATGTACAAAAGAGAGAAGGACAGAAAAAGCAAAGAATGAGACTTTACATTTGTGAGTTTTTGGTGTCCCCAGAACTCTCATCAGAGAAGTTTAATCTTCAAACATAGAGCAGGAAACACATTTAAACACCACGAGGGGGCTGAATATGAAATGAGCACTGGTCACAGTTTCCATCTCCAGAGATTTATTGATTTTTTGAGTAAATTGAACTGATGTTTTTCATTTGGTTTTCACACCTTGCTCCAGTTTAATTTCAGTTGATGCTTTGTTTTTTACAAAGCTTTACTAGACTCTCAGACTCATGAAAGGACGATGCATTTTTAAAGGCGTTAATGGTTAGACATTTATAGCTTAAACATCCACATAATTTAAAAACAACATCCTGTAATATGTTCTTAGTTTAATGGCCATTTATAGAAAGTGTGATTCACACATGGTACACACAGATTATTAGCAGACCATCAAACACACTAATGCAGTTGGTATCCCCAGAAACAGCTTACACAGTGAAAGTTTCATGCTCAAATTCTGATGCTGATGATACCTGATTTAAGATGCTGACTATTGGAAAATGAGCCACAGGAAAACTAATGTCTACGACTGGACGTTTGAATTAATTAAAATCAGATAATCTCCTGCTAAGCGGTACAACAGGAGAGTATCATGGACATAAATTGCCACTAGGTGACTATTAACCAATACCACTGATAATTGCAACAGTAAATTTTGCCGATACAATGCTTATCTGCACTTCATGAACTGAAGTGAACACACACAATTTGCTGAATGCTACTACAAGCCAATGTGCTTTCTTTTTCTACTTCTAAGAAACAGCACTGATTTCAAAAGTAATAAGTTTAAAAGGAGACAGAATATGAGTATTTGTCTGTGTGGATAGATAAACAACTGAGAATAAAGACAACTATTAAATTATATTAAATTATATTTAATCCCTCATGATATTGGATTAGAGGGTGGGATACCATCACACAGGAAATAAGCATTTGTTCATTTTAGACCATAAGAGAAGAAGCCCTGATTATCTTTAGAGCATTAGCACAGAAGCTGCTGTTCATCAACACCAGGAAACATAAAGTAAGCTCATATTAGGACAGACCAGGAAGTGAGGAAGCCATCATGCCCCCCCCCCTCACCTGGTGCTTGTGTCTCTCTCTGTGACCTTTACAAGGGATGCGACGTGTGACCCACTGCAAAGGTAGGCGTAATATCACCCTCTCCCCTAAAGCCTCCTCCTACACAGCTCTCTGAACATGATAAGGATATTGAATTTTTATCTTTCTGAACAAGAAGATATCTGAAAAATTAGAGATTTTCTTTGGTGCAAATGATCAGAGAGCTGTCCAGACAGGGGCAGGAGTGGGTTGACAAAGTGTGTGTGTATGGAGTTACCTCCCTTTATTGTTGTTAGGCTTAATAAACTAACACACACCCGCACACATGCTATCTAACCTCCACTGGGAGCTGAGTCAGTGTGATTGCAATGTTTATGGTTCACTTGTGTGTCTCCACACTTGTTAATGCTAGATAAAGCTGCTGCCTCACCAAAGCCTCACATTTTCACTCATAGGCGTTTAGTCTCTGTCACCATAGTAACAACACAACAGATTTCTGACGCTCGCTTTGAGTTGTTCTGCAAGCGCTTAAATCCTCTCTTCTGAGATTCTTCGCTGCCGTTCAGAGTGAGTTGATTTTGTGCTGCTCTTATTCTTCTTGCCCTCGAAATGAATATTTGCATCACAAACACATTCAGTCTCTTTTTTGAGTAGTTCCCATTAAAGTCTGTTCATTCCACTGCTTGTAGTTTTTCTCACATGAAGTGTCGTCTGTTTGTGTGTAGTCCCCCTCTGCAAAGAATTCACAAAGCTGCCAACAATTTAAAAAAAAGAGACTTGAAGCTCATTTCCTTCAGATATATTGCTGTTTACCCAGTCCTGTTACTGGATCATTTGCTCTTTTCTACTCTTCAGGTCATCTAGACAAGTAGTTCTCAAATCTCTCTCTCAAATAAAGAAGTGTCTGTATATGCGCCTTGGATCTTAAACCATTAAAGGTCACATATTATCCTCCTTTTCAACTAGTTTGACTAAGTGTCAGAGCTGCCCAAAACATGTCTGTGAAGTTCTGGCTAAAAATCCACTCTGATCCTGTTTTTTTATCATGCCTGTAAATCCCTCTATTTCAGCCCTAATCAGAACAGGCTGTTTCTGTGTATATAGCTTTAAATATAAATAAACCTTGACTGGCCACGCCCCTCTAGAAGGGGATGTGGCTCTGGCTTTCTCGCTCCATGCCCTATTGTTACGATAAGAAGGGCAGAAGAAACAGCTAGCTGTGGGAATGTCGCCCACCTGGGGGAGGAGTTACTGCCCTTTGTGATGTCACAAAGGGAAAATCTCCAAATGGAGTGAGCATACATGTTCTGAAAAGTGGAGTAGGCAAAAGACAGAGAGGGTGGACCTTTCTCATAATTGGGGCGTTTGTTGACAGTTTAGCGACACATATTAGTTCTTGAAAAACATTGTAATGATAATTTTGCATAATATGTGACCTTTAAGTTTCTAAATTATCTTCAGATGCATGGAGAGGTGAAAAAAAAAAAAGAGTAATATCACAGACCTTGAAAATCGATAATAATGAAATATTTCAAGACCCTTAAATTAATTTTGAAGCATCATCCAGACCCGGGTTTAGAAGCATTGATTAAAACCAATCATTCCAAACCTTTTAATAATCACATATTCTGACTACGCTTCTAATGTCTGAGATGATGTCACTCAACATGCTGGTTGTTCATTATAGGGGTCAATTTCCCAACTTCCTTGAACGTTTGTGTTTCATGATGCTTATTCTAAATGAGACACAAAAACAGCCCTGTCTAACTTACTCTACCCACCTCCTCCACCCTTTACTTTTACTTGCCCCTTTGCCCTACTTGTCCCCCCATCTCCCTCTCCACCATTGGTCCCTCTTGTCCCCGTCTTCATCATAGTCACAGTGCAGATTTACCTCAGCCGCTCCGCCAAACGGACGGAGACCAACAGCAGCCCAGCAGCTACGACTATAACATCCCTTTCATCCAACATCAACCCCAAACTTACCTCAGAGAGCAGCAAGGCCAGCACCTCCAGAAAGGGTGGTGTCATAAAGGTGGCACCAGCCAGAAAGACCCCAAGCTTTAGCCTCCAGCTGAGAAAGTCGGGGATTTCGTCTTCTTACGCTTCCCTCGATACACCCAGTTATCGCAGCCCAATCAAGTCTCCCAGCCAGTACTTTCAGATTTGCTACTAGCTAAACAAGCTAAATAGAACAAATCTAAATACATGTATTACACTTATCAAGCTATTGTTAGCCAGAACAAGTCAGTAAAGAGCCAATATTTGGGTATTTTCACCATATTGGCATGGCGCCATTTTCTTTTCACATCATTATGCTCAAGGTGGGAAGCTCTACAGCGTTAAGCATAAATGTTAAGCAAATAGTTTATTACCAAATCTAGCTGTTGTAATGGAGGCTAATGGATTACAAACTCTGTACATTTTACATGGCAAAGTGTGTTTTTGGCATTCTTATCGTATCATGTAACACTTTCAAACTTTAATGTTAGCATCCAGCCACTGCCTAGCTTACAGTTTTATTTATTATTGTTTAAACGGTTAATTTTTGGGGCTTTTTATGCCTATGTGTAGAGATTTAGCTGTAGATAGAGTCAGATATCAGGGAGAGGGATGGGAATGACATGCAGGAAAGGAGCCACAGTGTCGGACTCGAACCTGGGGAACCTGCCTGAGGACCCCATCCGCGGTACATGGGGCGTGCAAACAAACCTACTCCAGCTAACAGTATTATTGGCTAGTTAGTTGCTGGAAGCTAACATTAGCTCTCGTGTAGTTGTAGCTAAAGGGTCGTCACACATTTTGTTTTCTTTGAAATATGGCGTGACGATGATCTGGAATTTCACTTTCCATCATCTTTTAAGTTGCTGATCAAACTGTAGGAGATTTATGTGGTTACGGTTTGTCAAGTTTGCTATATTTTATTTGACCCCTGAAACAAAGCAGTGTAACAATATACAGTATCAGCATATCAGCTTTTTTAAAGATTTTTTTTATTTTGTGTGTGAACTTTTTATGCCTTTTATCAGAGAGACAGAGCAGTGGTGGATGGAGTCAGAAATCAGGGAGAGAGAGTAGGAAATGACATGCAGGATAGAAGTTACAGGGCTCCCCGTGTACTGGGTCGCCCACTTCTAGTACAACAGCCTCTGTACATGGGGAGCCCAAACCAACCACTAGGCCACTGGCGTCCCCAGCATTTAAGCTTCAAACCCTGAGTGAGACTTCAAGTGAAAATGGGAGCCATTTGAATATATCAGATCTGCACTTTTCAAATTTGGTCACATAATCAGTCAAAGAGAGATTTCCGTTTTTATGGCATTTAATAATAAAATATTTACAAGAAACTACCTTTATTTTAATGGACATTTATGATTCAGTTTGTGTGTTTTGGTTCCATTGAAGCTTTCTGCATGACTTCTTTTTCATTTAAATATTTTTTAAACTGTTTTGAAGGATTTCTAATTTTCTCCTTTTTTAAACTCAAATCTGTTTTTTGTTTGTTTGTTTTTTTCACAACATCTCCATTCCTCTGCTCGTGTCTGCATTTCATGTCGGTTCACCTCTGCTTTGAGCTGATTATATAAGAGATTTGAAAGTGTTTGCAGTTCATTTTGTGCTAAGTGTTGTCATAACGGTTTTTGAAATGACTAATAAAGTCCGTTAAAATCTTGTTTGTGTTTGCAAATTCTGTCATTTGTTGTTTGTAATTTAGTCTTATCCATTGCAAAAATCATACATCATCCCTCCATTATCCTCTAATCCTGTTACTCCTTCAACAGTCGTCGTTGTCATTTGCATCATAAAGGATGTTATATAATACTTCATTGTCCTGTGTGTGCTGTTTGCATATTTTCATACATTTAAAGTGTTTGAATTCAAAATACTGACACTATTGCAGCACAATTATTCTATTTTCTACATGTACATTATCTGACTACTTTTCTCTGTTGCTTTTTCTAGAGGAGGGTTATGTGAGAATGTACTTGAAGGGTCGTCCTATCACCATGTACATGCCCAAAGAGCAGGTGGACAGCTACTGCCTGGAGGCCCGAGCCGAGCTGCCCAGCAACAAGCTCAAACTGGACTGGGTGTATCCTTTCACAGAGAAATCACACTAACTGACATCTCTTTTTTTTTTTTTTCTATTTGCACTTGTGATTTGAAAAAGTTATGAAAAGCAATCTTCTCAGGAGGTTAAATCCTGATCAGCCTGTGATAAAGTTAAGAGACGGGGCTGAGAAATGTGTCGCCTCTCCTCTCGCTGCTTGTCAGAGTCGATCTGTTCAGATGTTCATTTTCACCGTGTGGAGTCGCTCTGCAGTCAGTAATAACCTGCACACAGCTGGCAGCCGGAGAGACACAACCAGTCAGCAGCTACTCTTGTGCCGAGTTATTTTTATTTCGTTTCATTTGGTGGTTTCTTTCTTTTTCTTTTCATTTGGTTATGAAAAAAATGAATATATTGTGTTGTTCAGTGTAGCAGAGAGCCAGAGGGGGTGAAAAAGCTATGAGGGGAGACAAAGACGAGATTAAATCTGAGGTGAGAGAGACACAAACGCACTCACACAGCAAAAACACATGTGGGCTGTGTGTTCTGGATATTTAAAATCCAGTTTCAACAGGATCGCAGAAGGATTTTTTTTAGAATAAAAAAGACAAATGAGAGAAGTTTGAATGCATTTTAATGTCTGAATATGGTTTTGGAGTAAGTGTGAATGTTTTTTGCCAATCTCTGAATTCTAAAACGATTTATAAAAGTGTAAGCCAACAGCTGGTTAACAGTTATTGCTTATAATGAATCTGCTGATAATTTAATCTCTTGGTGTATAAAAACATTTGAAAACAGTGCAAAAATACTTGTCACGATCCAGAGCTTCTCGTCCCAACTGAAAAAGCTAAATCAACTTCCTGATTACTTCTACTTTTGAATTTGTTGTGTATTCCTTGACTCACATAATGTCTAGTTATGGTTACCGTGGTCGAGACTGTCGCTCCAACCTCTACTTGCTGCCCACTGGAGAAACTGTGTATTTCATCGCCTCAGTAGTCGTCCTGTTCAACGTGGACGAGCAGCTGCAGAGACACTACACAGGACACACAGACGACATCAAATGGTGAGAGACACTCTGGAGTCTGGGTGTCAAATCACAGGCTGTTCAGTTTCTTTTTTTTTTTAAAGTCCTGCAGAATAACAATATACAGTGAGGGAAAGTAACTGTTAGACATGGGCACTTTTCTTTGCTTTTAGCATCAAATTTCTGCAGAAGCATAAAAGTATCAGTGGGTGAAGGTGAGCAATTAAAATTAAGGTAACCTTGAAAAAAGATACCGTGATTGCACACTCTGAGTTTAATAAAAGTTCAAATTTGATAACTGATCAAAGTATTGAGTGTTAGAGCTTCACACAACCTGTGAGTTGATCCTGTACTGTTTCATTCCCCCCTCATATTAATATGAACTCAGGCAGGTTTGCAGACATGCGGTAGCTCCAGTGAAACTCATTCATAGCTTTTAAAACCCTTATTCACCAGATGAGGCCTTTCATGTATGTCATCTTTATTCATGCTCTCCATTTGATGTTGAAAAGCTTTTAACTGGTTTCATGTCTGTTTTCCACGTCTTTCTTTAAACCAGCCTGGCAGTCCACCCTGATAAAATCACCATAGCAACCGGGCAGGTGGCAGGAACCTCTTCAGATGGTAAAGTGAGTGAGGTCTCTTATGTATATTTCAGCATTTCAAATCGTTTTTTGCTGAGTTTTCAGTCTTCAATCTGACATCACATCATACTGATGCTGCCTCTTTCCTTCTCAACGTTTGTGGGTCATTTTTTTTTTTGTGGCAGCAGCTGGCTCCTCATGTCCGTGTGTGGGACTCCGTCAGCCTCAACACTTTGCATGTTCTGGGCTCAGGATTCTTTGACCGAGCTCTGGTCTGCCTCGCTTTCTCCAAGTCGGTAAGGAAACAACATAAACTAATGTAAGCTAAGGAGAATTTCAGATCTTGTTGTGAATGTTTTTTGATGAGTTAAGTATCTTTTTCTGTACATCAGAACGGAGGAAACACACTGTGTGTCGTAGACGATTCTAATGACCACGTGCTCTCCGTGTGGGATTGGCAGAGAGAGGACAGACTGGCTGAGGTCAAGGTATGTATGTGTGTTAAATATACAAATGGTGACATAACCTTAAATCCTGCTTTTATGGGGTTTTTTTAGTTTTAAAAAGCTCAAAGATTCTTCTTTTATGTGTTTGTGTTCAGTGCTCCAATGAGTCGGTGTTTGCTGCAGACTTTCACCCGACAGACAGCAACATCATAGTGACCTGTGGGAAGTCCCATCTGTACTTCTGGAGCCTGGAGAAAGGAACACTGGTCAAAAAACAAGGCCTGTTTGAGGTTAGAGACCAACCACTTTCCTACTAAGAAGGTCAAACACCATGAACTACCATTATATGATACAGAGGCATACATTTTTACCTTTTAAATATGTCTATATATGGACAATCAATGATAGTTTGCAGAAATAAAACAGTGTGTGTTCTTGTGCTTTTTGCAGAAACAGGAGAAGCCCAAGTTTGTGTTGTGCGTGACCTTTGCAGAAAATGGAGACACCATCACTGGGGACTCAAGTGGGAACATCCTGGTGTGGGGAAAAGGCACGTTTATTTATTTATTAGTTCATTTAACCTTTCTTTTACAGAGTTGTCTGGTGAGAGAGGACAATAAAGGCAAAAACATACCCTTTTATTCCCCGAGGTATCTGTTTATTTACCTGTCTGTCTGTCTGTCTGTTAATCTGCCCTCCTCAAACAGCCGACCTTTATGTCAGACATTCTCCAACTGAACCTTCTCATCCCATCCTTGTCACGCAGGCACTAATCGCATCAGCCACGTCATCCCAGGAGCTCACGAGGGCAGCATCTTCACTCTGTGCATGCTGAGGAACGGAACGCTGGTGTCTGGAGGGAAAGACCGCAGACTGGTGTCCTGGGACAGCGGCTACCAGCAGATACAAACGGTGGAGGTAAGGAAAAGTTCAACAGCACCAAAAGAGCACATTTTCTAAGGCTACTTTTTTATGTCATAACGTATTAAAGATATGAAATATAGAAACATGAGGTTCAGCATCCTGATGATCCTAACATATATAAATATATATTTTGATATTTTGATAAACAGTTAAATTGCATATCCAGCCCCTGCTTTTGAAGTAGCTTTTGGTTGCTCATATTAGCCTGAAATTGCTCTCCAGCCTGAGGCTTCATACTTTGCATTCTGAATACTGCACCAAATCATAAATATTACAGAGCATGAGATGGGTTTAAACCTTAAATGAGATTCATGGATATTTATGGTCGTGAGAATTATGGATCGTTCATGTCTTATTTGCTTTAAGGAGACCACATTATTCTGAACTAAACACGAGTTAGTCTCGCAGATGTCTGATTCCAGGTTGTGAACATTATATTTCTTCCACAGGTGCCGGAGTTGTTCGGTCCAATCCGGACCATAGCGGAGGGTAGAGGCGAGTCTGTGCTCATCGGGACCACCAAGCACTTTGTTCTGCAGGGCAGTTTGGATGGAGATTTCATACCGATAACACAGGTAGATACATAAAAACATACAATGGTACTTCAATACATGGCTGAAACAAAGCTCCACTTTTATTATAGGGAAATTCTCAAGCCTCTAATTGACGTGTTTCAGCTCTACACTGATGTTGTTTATGCACTGGACTGATTTAAAGTCACATTTGAAAGGCTGTGATGTTGTAGCAGAAGAAGAAGAAAAAAAGACTCCCCTCTTCTCCGCAGGGTCACACTGATGAGTTGTGGGGTCTGGCTGTTCACCCTGGGAAGCCTCAGTTCCTCACCTGTGGCTTCGATAGGCAGGTCTGCCTGTGGGACTCCAGCTCCCATCAGCTCATCTGGACTAAGAGCATGGAGGTAAGTTAAGTCAACGTCGCCCTCTAGGGCCAGTCATGGGAATTACACACAAAACAAACTTTAAGTTCTCATAAAATTTAGATACTGTACTTGCTGTAGGCTCACATTTAGAAACTAAATGGAAACAATTTGAAAATCTATAATATGTAATTAATTTATTTTATGTATATTTGGTTAATTATTGTCTTTTCTTATTAATGTTGACAAAAAAGATCACATCCTGAGTTTTTTTTTTATAACATACAGACCTAATTTGAACAATAGTGTCCTGTCTGATTAGATACTTCCACAGAAAGTTCAATTACATAAGGTATTAAAATGATATCTTCTTTATCATGCTGGTACTCTGAGATTGAAGGTGATCCCAGAGAAACTTTCCTCCGTGATGATCGGGAAAACCTTTTTATGTGAAATTATTGACACACATAAAGGACAAGTGTACAAATACTGCAACACAAAGTAAAACCGATAATTAAGCAGATGGAGATTGAAGATATTCTCTTTTTCTGTTCCTGACAGGATTCTGCCCAATCAGCTGGCTTCCACCCGTCTGGAGCTGTGGTTGCTATAGGAACCCAAACTGGCAGGTAGGAACCCCATCATCAGAAAAACACTGACATGGTCAACAGAATTCAAGTGTTAATGTGGTGATACAAAAAGTAAAATATCAGAAAAGGCACCTAAAACACATTGTAAATATTACTAAATTGTTGAATCAGCAGTTATTAAACAGTGTGTCATTGATCGTGCAGGTGGCTGGTGTTGGACACTGACTCCAAAGATCTCGTCACAGTTCACACAGACGGGAATGAACAGCTCTCTGTTATGAGCTTTGGACCTGGTATGAAGAGTGAAGTTTTTACAGTCTACTTTCTCTTTTTTATTCATATTAATAAACAAATGTTAATTTTTTTTTTTTTTTAGTATTAAAGTATAATATTGTTGACACCAGGAAACCTACAACTTAAATTATGATCCCAAATTTGCAAACCTAATGGTGTGCGATTTCATGACCAATGATCTTCCTGTCTCCTTTGATTTTATTTAGACGGTAACTTCCTGGCCATCGGTTCCCACGACAACTACATCTATATCTATGCTGTGGCAGAAAATGGGAGGAAGTACAGCCGAGTGGGGAAGTGTTCGGTGAGCACCTGTATTTATAATCCCCCTCTCATCCGTGGCTCTTTTTATTTTTGGTTCCACCCTGCGTCAGCTTTATATTTAGCTCTTTCCTCAGCGTCTATATTTGGCTCTCAGCTCTGTGAACCTTGTCCTCACTGTGTGTCTAAAGAGAAGCTGTGAAATCATTAATGGCAACAGACTGAATCATACAGCGCTGTGTTTTTGTGAATATAATGATTAAGGGTTGATGTATTTAATCCTATTCAAATTTATGGGATTATTTGTGGTGCTTGAAATTTGATTCTGCCTCGTCTGCAGTAATGTTGTAAAGTGTGTCTTATAAAGAAATCAAACTTTCTCCTTTCGTGTCATTTCTCAGGGTCACTCTAGCTTCATCACTCACCTGGACTGGTCAGTGGACTCCCAGTACCTGGTTTCAAATTCAGGGGACTACGAGATACTGTATTGTAAGTATAACCACTGTCATCCTCTCGCAGTCTTTTTTTTTATTTGGATGGTTTCTGACTGCTCTATATATAAAGGGTATAAAACATGTGCCTCAGTTAAATTTAACAAATGGAAATGGTTAAAACTCTATCATGTTAAATCAATGAAAATATGTAAATGTATATATACTTGACCAAATTATTATTAATTCTAAATTTACCTTGTATGTATGCAACATAATCAAAAAAAGACATTATTCTTTTTTTTGTACTTCATAGAGAAAGGAAAAAAAAGAACCCTTGAACAGAAAATCTTTGTTGCAGCTTGTATTTTTTGTGTTTGTGTAGAAAGTTATCGCTGAGAACTGCTGATTGAGAAAATATGCTTTCAAGTCCTTTAATGCACCATTTAAAGTTACCTCTTACATTGTTTTACATGCCACCCAATAAGCCGGAGTCCCGTTATATACAGTTATAAGAAGAGTTTTTAGCCACTAGGGTATATTACAATAGAATTCGAATTTAAAAAAAAACAGTTCTTGTTGCTATCACATAAAAATTAAACTCTTATTAGCACACTGGTTTTCAGATTCAAACATCTACAAGTTGCTGCATAAAGAATGATCTGAAGTTTTCATGTACTTAATTTATTGATGGTAAAAAATCAGGAATTCTTTATTAGCTCAAACATAAAATCATCATGATTTCGATGAATTTTCCATCAAGTGTGATGAAGTCAGTTTTTGTAAACCAGCTGTCACTTTTTATTACATAACATTTATTAATCCGACAGTTTTATCCAAATACAATACTATAGTAATAATTGTACTCATACAATAATACTTTTTTAACCATGTGATTAAAATACAGACGCTGTAATAGTCGTTTGTTTGTGTGTATTTCCCCAGGGATCCCATCAGTGTGTAAACAGGTGGTCAGTGTGGAGACCACCAGAGACATCGAGTGGGCCACCTACACCTGCACTCTGAGCTTTCACGTCTTTGGTAAATGACATCTTCCTTCCTCTCACTCCTCAGGTGTGTGTTTTAACTGTCCATTCAACATGCGGTATATGTTTCCATCACTCTTTCCTCCGCAGGCTTGTGGCCCGACGGCTCAGATGGCACCGACATCAACGCCGCCTGCAGGTCCAACGATAAGAGCCTGCTGGTTACTGGGGACGACTTTGGGAAAGTTCATTTGTTCTCACACCCCTGCTCACAGTTCAGAGTAAGATTGTGTAAACTGTTTTGCAACATTTACATCTCAGGGATTTAAAGAAAGAGATTCATTTCAAGTGAAACATGAGACATGGATTTCATTAGATTTTTGACTTCTTTTCAGGCTCCCAGCCATGTTTACGGCGCCCACAGCAGCCATGTAACCAACGTGAACTTCCTGTATGATGACAGCTACCTGGTGTCGACCGGAGGGAAGGACATGAGCGTGATGCAGTGGAGGATAGTCTGAGGGAGCAGACAGAAACGTACACTCTATTTACGTCTGTTTCTTACAGCTGCCTCTTACTGGGCCTGAGAGCCAGCAGAGGCAAACTGAACTGCACTAACATGAAGCGAACCAAACTTAAATTAATTCAGACTCTAAAAACAAAAAGGTGGAGCTGCCTGAACTGAAGAGGACCCTGAGGTTTGCTTCCTGAGATGAACTGTCGGAGCTGTAATGGGCAGTTGTGTGAAATACAAAAAAAAAAAAACCTGAACTTTTCTGCTTTTCTTTACTCACGCTACATGTAAAATACTCTCACCTACCTTTACCTACACACCAATGACATGAAACAAAACAGGTCCAACAATTCCAATCCACCTAAACAGAACCAAAGGCTCTGATTTTCAGACTGCATCGAGCAGCTCTTGTGTCGTGCACACTGCTGCCACAGATAGCGGACTAAAGGATTCATTTTCAGAATGAATATCACTCATCCAAGAGCATAAGAACAAAAACTGTGTACAGAAAGAAAACTGTTTCTTTTATGTTTTATTTAACAACTCAGGAAAGCACTAGTGGAGCAGGTTAACATTGACATATCAGAACAAGCCCTAAACATATCTCACTACTACATTTTAGGAATATTAAAATTTTGTAGGACATAATGAAAAAAAAAAATCCAGTCAGATTCCTTTATCCATCTCAGTGTTTGGATTTTACCTGTTCTTGCAACATTATCTTAACATTTCCTACATTTATTGTGCTTCCTGGTCTTGAAAAAAGACACCTTTTCTATTATTTATTGACCGCAAGTTTAATCCTTCACTGCCAATTTTAGTTCCCTTTTGTCTTCCCAACAAAAAAAATCCCTTTTGAGACACTGATGTGTAAATAAACTGAGAAGCTTGAAACTGATTTGAGGTTTGGGTGAATCTACAGTATTTGAAACTGTTTCAGAGTTTTGGAATGAGTTGTTGTATCTTATTTGCCTTGATTTGCCAGGGAAGTAAAAATGAAGCATGTTTGGGTTTTTTCTTTTTTTAATGATGTGAAGCCTTCAAATCTGTATCTATATGCATTTACTACAAGATGAGTGAAGGAAAGAGAAGGCTGAGACCATTACACTGTAACTATTTACGTCCGATGTGCACCATCAGATACTTTTTAGTGAACTGAACCTTTTCAGGTGTTTTTATTTTTTAACTTAAATGCACTGCTTCTGCCTTTTTAACACACAGCAGGTCCTGTCACCTACAGTACAGTAGAACAAGAAAATCATCATTTAGCACTTACTGGAGCTTTTCATGAGCTGGTGATGATAACTTTCAACTTTTTGTAAGCACGACACACTCCCCATCAAATGGTTGACAATAAGCCAATTAACACACATACACGTTTACTGACGATTGCTTTGATTTTGTTTCAGCAACTGCCATTGATATAAGGAAATCCGTTGTTGTTGTTAAAGTTGCATGATTTATAGTTTCCTTGCAAGGAAAAAAAACACTGAAATCTTCTAACAGCAGTGATATAAAGTCAACTTTCTGCAGGGTGATTGTAACATGATCTGTCTTATCACTAAACACTTGAGGCTACAGAATACCACTGAAACATTAAACATTTGTCTGAATTTAAATGCAAAATCAAATCCCTTTGAGGCTGTGTCTTGTGTTTTCCACTTGATGACATTTTACTTCATTTTCTTTCTTTTCATTAACCTGGTATCAGTATCTGTCCCGGGTGATCGCATAAGACCTGGACAGCCTAAAGTACTGCTGAACAGGATTAAGATCTGATCACACAGGCTGCATACAGAGGTCGTCTTTTCATTTGTTGGGCAGTGTAAACCAGAGACTGTATATTAAGATGGACAGAGAAACAGTTTCTTGGGAGTGAGGCCAACATTTTGATTTTTTTTAGAGCTCCCACTGCTGACAAGCTGGACCATTGGTCACAAACCCCGCCTCTTCCATTTTAACAGACGGGATATGGGTCAAATTATAAAATCCATGTCAAATAAAAATAATTTCACACAGTCATTGGACTTTTCATAAACATGAGTGTCTGTTCCAAACCAACACAAAAATCTTTGCTGCTGTGAACTGAATAGACTTGATATTTTATATGTAATTGAAATGTGTGCATCAATTCCACGGTTCCACCAACCAGCTCTCAGTATTGGCTCCAAATTGCGTCACCAGTGCAACATGTCAGCCCCTGTCGCAGGGTCACTTTTGCATCATTTTACGCAATGGAAGGAAAAGGGGAAACGCACTGTCCACGTTAATTAACATGCCATGGGACACATGAAGGAGCGCCTACTCTCCCTGTTTCAATGGCAACAATCGTGTGGAGTAACAGATCACTCTGCTCTCATGTTTGACTCATTTATCATTTCTTTGCTGTGTGTCATGGAACTTTTTATTTTTCAAATTTCTCATTTCATTCCACCAGGTGAGATGAAATATATGCATTAAAGTGAGGTGTGCACCAAAATACAGATCTTGTTTGTATTGGTTCAATTTTTAATTTACATTTTTAATAAGGGACCCCACCCCTAAAGCTCCACCTTGGGGGCTTGTTTGTTGGGGCTAGTCCATTTTCTAGTAGCCTACATTGAGGTGTTTCACAAGTGTGATCCACTCCTCAGTGGGAGGAGCTCAGCCCACCCCCCCCCGCTGGGATTTGAACTCAGGAACAATCTGCTCCCCACTCTTTATTTTCATTGTAGGACTGGTTGAGTTGATGAAGCAAAAAATAAAAATACAAATCTGTTGTAAATTTTTACTTTTTACTACATTAGTGCTTGTTTGACTTGGTTGACATATGTAGGGGGGGGGGTATAGAAAAGCACACCATTCCTTTCGTGATTGACTTCTCTGACTTTCACAGTAAAGCACAATCGGGTCACCTTGAAGCAGGACATCACAACGAAAGCTTCTTTTCATTATAACACACTGGATATGAGTACGCCCTAATGGTCGGCATTCTGGTAGTTTCTGAATAGATATGAGGGGGGGGGGGGGGGAGAGAGAGAGAGAGAGGGGCGTCAGCGAGCTGCACGTCAGCGTCTTCCCCGCAGGTGGGCAGCATCGAGCCGGTCTTCTCCCCCACCTCCCCTCCTCCTCCTCCTCCTCCTCCTCTGCCTCCACAACGCAGTATTAGCATTTCCCCCAAATCTCTCCTCCTCAACCAAAACACTCCGAATGGGAAGAAAATATGGCATGAAGGAGGCGGCGGGTCAACACCACCGTATACCGTCTTTTACAGAGCGCGAGCACCGGCTGAACATGGACTTAAGGATAGGCAGCGGCGCGCGAGGAGGGAGCACAAAGCGGATGGCAGACAGCGCTCGTGTTGTCGCTTAGCGTTTCTGCAACACGACTCATCACCCGCCTGTGTTACATCTCCACGGAGGCGGACAAGGGACTTAGGGAGGAAGATTATTCGAGCCGCCCTTGTACTGTATAGAACGAAAGAAATAAGCGGGCTGCCGGTCCCTTTCATTAAACTCATCGGTGCCATCATCCGCGCTTGAATTAAAGACAAGAAAATGAGGTAAGCGGCGGGCAGCAACACGCGCTCATGACAGATGCGCAGGGACACTCATCCCCTTTTGCCTCCAGTCTAAATTTACATTTACAGGTTTGTTTGGTTTAAGTAAATATTACAGCTGATAATGAATTGAAGCAGCGTAGAGTCATTTTCCCCACATATAGGGGCTGTATTATGAGCATATTGCGGCCCACCCATCGGGCCTCAGCCTCATATCACTGTCCTTTACCGTTTTCTTTACAATGCTAATACGCAAGACGAATAATGTACATTAGCTGTGATGTTCCCCCCCCCTCCCCTTTTTTAAGCCCTCTATTGTCAACGCCGGACCCACCCAGTGTGTCCAATGCAGGACCTAAGCCAGGCTAATGTTGTCATGGAAACGACAGCATCATGTATTTATGCCATAGTTTCTGCCCATAAGCCAAACGGCGCACCTGGCGAAATTAAAGCGCTGGTTCGATGTGGCACCGGTCAGACTGGCCACAGGTGGGGGGGTGGGTGAGGGCCCAGTTAATAGGAGTAGGTGGAGGGTGTTTATTCTGGTGGTTGCCAGGCAGGTTACCAGACCCCCACCCCCCTCTCCTGACACACATAGGCCTACACACACACACACACACACACACACACACACACACACACACACACACACACACACACACACACACACACACACACACATAGGCCTACACACACAAATAAGCCTACTCCATGACAGATCCAGTCATGCACGTATGGAAAATGTGTCTCATGTTTAAATCCTCATTCTATATCCGTGGTTGCAGACGGTATTTTGAGCCTTTTCCTGATTATCCTGGTATGCAGAATGCACCGAGGCCCAAATCATCTCCAGGCAGCAGAGTGTCTGTATTCTGTTCTATTTATGAAACACTCCTTTTACATTTCTTCCCTCCTGCTGCTGCCTTTCGTTTGACTCCTCTGTGTCTCCATAGATGCAGCCTGCACCATTCTGTTTTATGGCTTCAGATTCACCCTGACAGCTCCCCTCGGATACACTGCACTCTATGGGCTTTTACTGTAGCTGCCGGTGTTTTGTGTGCATGTGCATGTGTAAGAGTGAGACTGTCTGGGTGTGTAGTTGTGATGCTACTCCTTTCAGAGAGGAAAAGGAGACAGGGGGAAAAAAAAGCTAAAAAAAATAAAATAAAAGTAGACCTAGATGGTCTCACAACTGGATGTCTTGTTCACTACATCTCCTGAACTGAATAAATCAGCCCTCTCCTGTAACCTCACACAACCCAAAGCCAGCAGCTGAATGATTTCGCCCTCAGACAGTAAACATGTAAGATTCATATCTCAGAGTCCACTTCAGTGAACATGCTGTTTCCTCTTTTCCTTTAAGCTGCCTCGGTCCTGTTCTGCTAGTTTGTTTTAGCCGGAGGCAGATCTGTTCTTTGACTCAAGCCCAAAAGAGAAGTCTTAAATCTCCACATAGCAGCAACAAGGTGACCTGAAGATTCTTCTGCAGGGTCGAGAAAAAAAATTCAATGAGATTATTTGTTCAGCATCACTGCATCCTTTGCTGCTTTTGTGCATGAAGAATGTGTCCGTGTGTGTTTCTGCACTTACGTGAGTGTGAGCTATTTTTAGTCTGGTAACGGTAGTACCTTCATTATGGGATGCTCTCTATCTCTCTCTCTTGTCTCCTTGTCAGACTGGCTCCTGTCATGTGTTCATGTTTGTGTGTGTTTTTTTGTATGTGTGTGTGAGTGAGAGAGAGAGAGAGAGACAGTGTAAGTGGGCAGAAAGCGAGGCGTCCTCTCTGTACTATTAACGCAGGATGATTTCTGACGCGCCTGTTATGGTGACTCATCGTAGGAAAGGTAGAATGAGCGAGTGCAGCCAGTGGAAGGTAAAACGCTGAGTTATGCATCTTACTGCAGGCGGCTGCTGATCAGAGAGCAGCTCCACGTGAGCCAGCGTCCCCACACACAGCCACAACAGTCACATTCTATGGGTTTTCATCGGCAGCGATACCACAGTATTATCCAAACTTCTCAGGGAGCGTCAGTAGAGGCAGGAGAAATTAAAAGCACGGTCTTTCCTAACTAAATAATTTGTACTTTTTCTTGTTTTTATTTTCTGAAAAAAACAACAACATGATTTTTCATTAGAAGATTTGAAATAACAGAAGAAGCCACAGTTCTCAGACACAAATAAACCAATATTAGTTGCTCCAGACATTTAATGCTGGAGCCAGTATTGATAACAATGTCTGTAGACTGTATCGACTTGATTGATTGCCATAAAAGATACAATTCTAAGACATTCATTGTCCCCAAGATGTTGTTCAGTGAATACTTTTGTGATCCTCAGACTTTTCTTCTGTTGTCCCTGAAGCTTTTCTGTTCATTAACCAACATCCAAGGGTTTGTTATCCTCCATCCAATCGGAGCAACTAAACCTGTGCTGTAGCAGTAGGCTACCAGGATAAGTTGTTAGGCTGTCATCCAGTTTAACATCCGCTTTCACACTCGCACAAAACTCCTGAAAACTTCCTGATGTTTGTTTTTTTCATGAGTCAGCTGCATGTGTAAACGCAAAACAGCGGAACTTTTCATTTAAATTTTACCCAGACCTTTTCCTTCCAGTAAATTTTCTGCGTGTAATCAGCAGGAAAATTCACCGCAAGTGAGAGGGGGTGGTGACGTTTATATCCTACAACCAGCACACAACCATAGACCTCATGCGTGCGACCAGTGCGATCTCTGTGTGCGTAATGAACACAGCTTCATTATCTTCCTTTTAACCAGTATGTTATTTTTCGCTGTTTTGTTAATATTGTAATTGTGTCAAAATACAGATGGCATTGATATTAAGGCAGAATTGTCATTTTAGTGTCCGAAGTGGACTCTGTTGCTTCGTCTGTCTCTTCCGCGGTGTGAGCTGCATGTGTGAACAACCAACTCGGCAGGATTTCAGCAGAGGTCTTTCTGAAATTTTCCAGAGTGCATAGGCTTAGTCAAATTATCGGCTCTTAAGCTATAGGGATATGTTGGTCAGAATATTTCAAGGGTAAATTAAGACGGCACGTACCAAGTCAAACTGCATCAACTAAGACAACAGTGGATTATCTAACAATAGAATACATGCAGACTTCAAAATTAAAAAAATTATCTAGATCAGTGGTTCTCAATTAACTGGGACATTGGTCTCACACTTTTTATTATTGAGAGGGAAAGAAGAGTGAAGATAGGAAAGCAGACAGGAAATATTTCTTGTGCATACTTTTAATCCAAAATTCTTTTTTTGTGAATGTGAATAACATCAACGTTATATCGCTTCAAACTCCCCCCCCAAACTATTCAAGAAGGACATTAAAAAAAGATCATTTTCAGCTGATATGGTTCTAACCTACATACATTTTAAAGCTGTGATAGTCGATAACTAGTAAACATTTAATTCCTCAGCTTGTTTTTTTTGTCTTTCAAAGTGAATACCATGTGACCCTCCCGTGTCTCTGTCATATCATAAAGTAAACATACTGTTACCACAAACCATTAAAACATAATCTGGTCATTTTTCCAGCACATCCCATATACATACACAAGCTTTGTTTTGCTGGAGCTTTGATGATGAATCTGCATCATGTGTCCATTTGGCCTAATGGAGGTCAAGCAGACCGTATCAGATGACCTCCGCCTAGTGGAAGTATTTACAGCTAAGAGAGGCATCTTTTCTTTCTCTCTCTCTCTCTGCCTTTTGATCCTACAGATTCCTACTGTTTAACCCCATTTTAGCATTGTACTCACTGATTTTGGATGCATATCCTGCGTTTTTTTGTCATCTTTTTTTGTCTTCTTTTCTTGTCTTGTGTTTCACTGATTTTCAGGCTCAATTTTTTTTTTTTTTTTTTTATATATTTTTTTAACGCCTCAAAGCCTATCTGTTAGTAGCCGAGCGTACTCTTTGTTTCCCACACCT